AATTATTCTTAAAAATACGTTTGGAGAAGCAATGATCTATGCATTTTTTTTCTATATCACCAAGTATTGAAACCTAAATGATTTGAAGCAAACACTTTAAAATAATAAATAAAATAAAATAAAATAAAAACACACCGCAGGAGCTTTAGAAAAAAAAAACTATGTGAGAGTTGTAGAGAGTGGCCCTTTCAAACACTACAGATGATCATTTTTAAGGTAATCTGAAAAGCTCTTTACACTAGATCTCCACCTGCAAAAAAAGAATGAGAGCTTGCATCAGTAGGGGGCAGAAAAACTGCATGAGAGCAATGTTCCAGTAGACCTCATCTTTTTTCTTCTGTTTTCACAATGCTGTTGTGCCAGTTGTTGAAAATAAAGAAAATCAACTTTAGTGAACTCTGAAACCCAGAATGAGATGAACTAATCTGAAAGTTTTCTTAACCACCAGTTAATTTTTAAAACTGACTGTCCTCTTGTGGTTGTGTTCTAGTTTTTGGAGCTGTGAGAGAGGAGAGAACATGAGAGTCAGCAGCTCAAAGAAAACATGAACAGACAACAACACAACTGAGATATTAAATCACTATAAGTAAAGTCAGTAATGTATGCTACAAAGGTTATACAACATTCATAGGAGTTTATGAGATGCTACAAAATCACATTGTTCATAAGACAAATATTGATTGTGCTTATCTTGTCATGAGGCTCAACAAGCTATCTTAAAGCATAGATCATTAACAAAAATCTATGGCAATATATGCATTCATATACATTAAGTCCAACATGTCTTCCCTTTGCATTAGAACTGCAGTTGATTACAAAACGATCTGTTTCTGGTGAAAGTGCTCTGATCTCGGCCTATCTTGCAGCCGTTACAGCCTGAGCCTGCTCTGTGCAGCTCAGCTCAGCTGGTATTCACATTTCAGGCACTGAGCTGGCATTCTTTGGAAGATCAGCTCAGCAGAGAAAGGAGCTCTGAGCTCGTGATTTGTTGCCTGCTGTTTGACAGCTGCTTGCAAACTTGTTTGCACATTATCACAGAATAATTCATTACTAAACAGCCTGGCTCTGTTTTGTAAGTGGACATAACAGGAAGGGAAGTAAAGCATTATTTCATCTCAGTATGTAAAGATTTTGTACCCTGATTAACACATTCTGACATAATGAGATGAAATAATGCTTTACTTCATCTCATTATGTCTCAGTATGTAAAGACTTTGAACCCTGATTAACACACTCTGACATAATGTGAAAAGTATTTGGTTATTGGGGAACTCAAGTCACATTTACTAATCTTGACTAATTTAGGTAAATGTTAAATTATGCAGAAAGACTTATTTGAACACGTGTGCATGAGAGTGGGCGTTCAAAGTGTACAAAGTTGTAAGCCTGCATGTTACAATACTGATACTAGTTATTTGTAGATCAAATACAGCAAGGTTATTATTTTCCTGAAGTACAGTATGTTGTAGTATACCATGATCAGATACAATAGTTTTTGTCGTATTTCCTGACTGTCATGTAAACTAAACTCTTAATTTAGTCTGCTTTGTTGTGATTATTCATTTTAGAAAGCCAATCATTCTGTTTATTGGGCATGTTTTTTCTTTAAAAATGGCCAGTAAATTTTATTTTTAATCCCAAGTTTCACATACTACCATTGCGAAATAAGGAATGCAGTTGAATCAGTTTTGTTAGTGGACTCTCACCATTTAGTATAACAACAATTCAGATTGTAAGAATAAAAGCTGAGAGGTTAGAAGGTAACCAGTAGAATATTTTAGTTATTAAACATGTAACTCTACTCAGATTTTCTAGTATTTTTAAGCTTTAGTTTTGTTTAAAGCCAATAAACTATGTACCGGTAGCTATTTCTGCCATTTTTCTATTAGCATGCTGTAAGCTAATGACTGGTGACTAAAAAACATATATTTCTTGAATTTAAACTGCTAATGTAAGTTTATATGAATAATTTTTACAATCTGACGAGTACGAACTAGGGGTGCACCGTTTGCAGTTTTCTGACCAATCACCGATCTTTCAAAAATCTGTCCTGCCAGTTCCAACTTTGAAAAAAAGGTTTTTAGTTCAGTTTTTACAAGAAGTCATTTTATTTTTCAGAATGTCTAACTGATCTGTACACTGCACCATCACAGTGCACATTTCAGACTATATCAGTTGACCAATTTGTCTGCTGGTTCTTTGGAATTCAATCCCTTTACCATTTATTGATACTGATAACTTTTTAAACTGACATTGTCAGGTGTTTTTAAGGTCACAATACAACTTCAATATTCCAATCTTTTGAAAAAACATTGAACAATACCCTTGAAACAAAACAAACCTGATTTAACTGGTCATTAGATAGTGCTCACAGCAGATTTTCGGACCTTTTATGGATTTAGATGAGAAGCTGGTCTCACTGATCTCTGATCTTCGAAAATTAAGGAGATCTGTGCAAATTTATTGGTGCACCCCTATTAAGAACACTTTATGAAGCAAGTTAGAACTTGAAAATAGTCTTTTCTGGGACTGAAGGAGTTCAAAACAATAGCAGACCCAATTGTAAAACGAGCAATGACTGCCAAATTTTGATTCTATTTGTTTTAGTTTTAAGCTGTTTAAGAGACAAGGTTTCACATAAAAAAAGGTTTTCAGTTCAGTTTTTACAAGAAGACATTTTATTTTTCAGAATGTCTAACTGATCTGTACACTGCACCATCACAGTGCACATTTCAGACTATATCAGTTGACCAGTTTGTCTGCTGGTTCTTTGGAATTCAATCCCTTTACCACTTATTTCAAATGCTACATTGTTGACAGTGCACATGCACCTGCCTGTCTTGAACGCATCAGTTTGAGCTCTGGAGACGGGCTACAGCAGATTCCAGGGTCATTGCTATTCCCAGTGTTTTTCCTCCTACACTTGTTTGTCTGTAGAGCTGAGCACAACCTGTCAAGCCTTTTGTTTATGCACCGTGCGTATCTTTGAACCCACACCTGCTGGCTCGCAGAGAAGTCGGAACAAACCGTACCGCCGAGCCAACAACGCGCACAGCTGCACAACGTCTCCGTCGCTTCTTCTTCTTCCAAAGTCAACTCCGAAAGGAGATGTCGTAACGTTCAGCCCGCTGAGACGGGGGCTCACCGCTGGTGGTTTCGACCCCCACGCTGCCGGGACCGCGGGTTCTTTCTGAGACTCCCCTCTGTGGCAAAAATTGTTTGCTGTTCTTCCTGTCTGTCACACCTGCAGTGTAAACCCCAGAGAGGAGAAAGGTCAAGGATGCTGGAGAAGTTCTGTTTGTTTTTTTCCTCATAAAATCTTCACCCAGCTAGACTCCCAGACAAACTGCAGAGCTCTGGAGAAAATATGGCAGCTGTTTGTTGTATGTGCTTGTTGCTGTTTTGTCTCATTTTTGTTGTTTTGTTGTTGCTGAACACGATGTCTACATTTGGGTAGTCTTGAAAGGGATAAGTGTGTCAGGAAGATATGCTCTTTGGGGTTTCTGCAGGTTCTGTGATAGTTTTATCTGACAAAATGCACTAAACTAAAATTAAAAAAAATCCAATAATATACGATAGCCTCATTATTAATGGTAAAGTTTTTTTTTGTTAGTGTCCTGATGCATCTCAGTATTCCAGGTAGAAAAAATCAAAGGAAAAAATAGGTCCTCTGGATGGGTTCTTCTTTAGTGAAAAGTTTTGTCTCTCCTCCAAGAGACTTCTTCAGTCTGAGTTTCAGGTGAACTCAAGCCTATAGGCGATGGCCCTCGTTTGCATGTGACTAACCTCTTTGTCCACCATGTGGAGGCAGTGCTTATGGCTGAGTTCACCTGAAACTCATCAGACTGAAGAAGTCTCTTGGACGTGAGATGAAATGTTTCACTAAAGAACCCATCCAGAGGACTTATTTTTTCTTTTTGATTTTTTTTTTATTTTTTTGTTTATGGTGACATAATTTAGAGCAATAACAAGGGGAGAATTCAGATTTTAAATTATTTAAAGTCTGTTTTTTAATTCCGTAGTTTATTACAAAACAACATAAACGCCAGTAACAACATGCTAAATCTACTTTCCTTTCAGAATAACCTTCTGGGCAGCCTGAGAAGTTTTTTTTTCTTTTCTCACCTCTACAGATCAGCTGCATGTTGACCTCACTGTGAACGACACATACATTTTTAGTGTCATTTTACACAGAAATACAAGTTTTAAAAAAAACAAAACAAGGTTAACCTCGTGCAATGTGTCACATTTTTGTCACTATTAAAACATTTGAGTTTCTAACCTGAAATGTGTTTGTTTTATCACCGTGTGTTTGGAAAATTTGGAAACATTTTTCTTTTAGTTTCCTATTGAGCCATCTGTTGTGTAACCATGTTGTCATTTTAAGGTTACTTCCAGTTTCTTTGTGACAGGCACAGAGCTGTACTTAAGTTTTTGTTTTGTTTTGTTTTGTTTTTACTTTGCTGTATTTATTTTTCTGCAACAGCTCGAATGCTGTTATGTGAGCCCACACAGGCACAGACAGGACAGACAGACACAGCTGAGGGTGTACAGGAGGTCACGAGAGGGATGCCAGCAGATGGAGTGATAGAGGGAAGAGAGGAGAAGCTAGGAAACAGGACAGCAAGACCAAATGCTTACGGGCTAATCTGAAGGCACTGATTTCATTTCACATCCTGTCTGCTCCACCGAGCCCACCTTATGCTAAAAACTTTGGGGCAGAGAAGATACAGAACATGTTCAAGTGTAAGCAGAAGTACTTCACATGCAGCTGAGAGATGTTTATATTTTATTAACTCTGCATATTTATAAGAGGACGTTTCTGTAAATACACACAGATTTAGAGTCTCTCCTCTTCTCCAGTGTGTAATTTATGCCTGTAGTAAGGTGTTTTTAATGTGCCTCAAGGACCTGCAGCAGCAGTAGTACTATCTTAGAAACACACACACTTCCTTTTAACCTAAAGTTACCTCCGCTGTCTCTTTCTGTCTTTGGTAAAGAATGGAGCAGTTCCAGGAGAGCCAGTGAAGAAGGATGAAAACACTCGGAGAGGCAACTGGGGCAACCAGATAGAGTTTGTTCTCACAAGTGTGGGCTACGCAGTGGGCCTGGGCAACGTGTGGAGGTTCCCCTACCTCTGCTACAGAAATGGAGGAGGTACGTATCTAGTTAGACTGGTAGCTGATGTACATATATGTGACCCATCACATTGAAATGAGGATTAAGTCCAAAAGTAGTGTATGGAGAAATAGGCAAATATAGTATTTTGACTAAAATGTTAACAAAAATTGCATTTTGTCAAAACATAATGAATAAATGCCTTATTAGTGTATCATTTGAATGAACTCTCTGGAATTTAATCATAAAACAAAATTTTGAAGCACTTTTTTGAGCAGTAGCAACAAAAAACCTGATTTTGAGGAAAAAGGCCTTAAAATGTTGAGATTTTCTTGTGAGTTAGCAAAGTTTTGTTTATTTTTAGCTGGAAAATCTCAATATTCAAATATAATTTGAACTCTTTATAAGGACATCAAAAATTCCTCAATAAAATGACATAAAATTAGGAATCAGACCAAATATTTATG